ACTGGAAATGCTCTTTGCATTAAGTCAGTTACCTGGAGATATCGTTAAGGAAGTTTTGCTGTCTCAAATTATATTTGTTTGTTTTTCAAATGCCATTGTCTGTCTATCCTACCATAACTGGGGGCATTATACGTGTGCTCTAGGTAATACCTGATCACAAGATCTGACAGCCAAAGACCAAGGATTCATGATCTCTAACTCACATTTATGGAAACTGCCTTAGTAGATTCAGTGTTTTCCAAAAGCTGTATGCTTCAGGTGTACAGAAGTATTGATTCTGCACTTGGGCATTTAATATTTTGTATGTATATTTGAATTTTATGGTATCTTAATCTGGGTTATTCTCTATGAATTACTGCACTTGACTATGATGATGACAGACAGTATAGAAACACCTCAGTGGAAAAGCAGCTGCTATATATCCTGCTTTATCCCTGGTCATGTGAATGCTTTATAAATCAGGGAATCTTATTGGAGGGATAGAGATGGAACTCTTCTTTCTCTTCAAATAAAATTTCAAATGCTTGGCAAAAAATTTACTTAACGTGTGGGTTTTAAAGTACTTTTTGCAAATAGAAGTGACCAGGGGCCTCTGGAGCTTTTACTTTATAGCGGTGGAAATGGGAAAGGGACATGAACATAAATTGGGAAAGGACACTTAATTAGAAGAAATCCAACCAGTAGCAAATCGGTCTGAATAATGTATTTTAGCTTTCTTACTTAGATGTCAACTATCATTGAAATTTCATTAAACGTGATTAGTTTATTTTGTCCTTAGTGAAGAGTGCTGATTAACATGGTTATGATAAATATGCATCTGAGTATCATTTTGAAACGCCTGCAAGACCTTAATTATTCTTTAAGACTGAGGTACTGACTGTGCCCTAATAATTTTCCTTAAAGATCTCTTCAAGGGTCTGGCTGATTTCAAAGGTAGGGATTTTTAATGGAAAGAAAGCAGTTTTTGATCAAATTGAGGTGAAACACACACATCGGGGTTATTTAGAGGCCTCAGTCTTGTTCCCAGCCGTGGGTTCTGCGGCCAAATGAGAATCTCCGGCAGGGCACTGGTTAACTGCGACGCATAGGAACAGCTCCGGGAATGTAATCAGCCCTATAGAGAAGAGCATTACCTGTACTTGATGACAAGAAGGAGCAATGTGCTGCAGGCCTCTTAGGCCTTATTTGGGGTCATTGTCTTGTAATCACAATGGAGTGAAGATGGGTCTTAAAAATTATTGTCAAATCCTAAGTGTGTGCCTGTTCTGGTGACTTGCAGTTCATGATCTCCCTGACTATTGACTAGGGCTGTGACTCTCTTGATGACTTCAATCAGGAGGTAAAAATGAGCTTTCTCTGAATCTTTGAAGATTTTTCATTTGAAACTGCTGTTGAGTTTCACCACATAGCAGCTCTAGCAGAAGAGGCATTTTGCATTGCTCTGTGTGTGCTGTGATTCTGCCCCTTTAGGTTATGCTTTCTGCAGCTCTTTGGGCTTCCCGATGAGTTTAATTACAAATTAAGATGCCATTTCTTGATGTAAGAATGGAGTTCAGGTGTGCTAATTAAAAATGGAGTTGGCATAGATGTACAAAGGTGTTTTTCATGGTGTGATTTATTGTTCAAATCTATTGATGTCGGGGTACGTTACCTTTGATGCCTTGACCCAGTCAGCTAATCAAACAACAGCACGCATGTTTTCTAATTCACAAAATTTCCCTTGTGGATACAGATGTTCCTCTAAATCTGAGATGAGTATCAATACAGTCAAAGTGCGGTTCAGGTTTCTGAAATTTATTTTGCAGTGCCAAAATGTCTCAATACTAAGAGTTCTAGGAGCTGTTGGTTGAGGTCTCAAATGATTCATGCTTATTTTGTAATAAAAAGGAGTGTCTTGTATGAATTTTACTATCGGTACCAAAATGGTGCTTTGACCATGTTGTAGCTAGAAAATATTTTCTGTCCTGGCGTTGAGATAATTATAAGCTGAAGAATATATGATGAGTGTGATATTTTTGTCAATCATCCGTCACTGAAGCCTCTTAAAGTTGCAATAATACAAGGGACATGAAAAGCAAAAGGGATGTAAGTGCCTCAACTTACGATGCTAATGAATCCAACGGTCTGCTGGAGTAGCTGTAAATCAAATGTACTGTAGCTATAAAAAGCCCATAAGACACTTGGATGTGATCCTGGCCTGCTTTGGCAATAGAGGAGCTGTGCATACAAATGAGAAGTCGTCCTCGTCGTATTATGGGCTGTAGGTGTGTATTATTGAGGCTGGAAGGACGATATTACAAAGTTGTTTTTGGAAAACTGCGGCAGCTGAACTCCATGTTGGAGCCAATATAGGGCCATTACATTTGAGACAACATTAATATCGGATAAATGGATGAAATGTAGTAAGGGAGGAATATATGGTGATTAGGAATATAAATTAAATTCTGCAGATTACAGGACTCTGTATTTTATCCTCTACATTTTAACTTTTAGTCTGACTTTTTTCTCCTCATAATTTCTTTTACACTTTATTGTTTCTAACTCTTTTCTCCTCAGCTCTTATGCTTATTACACCGATGTCTTGCATACTGAGCTTAACAGAACATTTAAAACAAGGAAAACTCTTGGAATAGATGTTTAAAAATCAATGTACCGTAGGGCTAAACATGAAGGAAGATGGACAGTACTGAGACTGAAGGGACTGCTAGGAGCTCAGCTGAAAAGCAAGTCTTTCAGAAAAATATGCCTAGAGATTCAGGTAATGGTCTGGGACTTGGAAGATCTGCATTCAATTGCTGACCCTCATGGCAAGACTTAATCTTTGTGTCTCTTTTCCCCATCTGTAAAAGCAGAATAGTTTTCCCTTCTCTCTGGCAATTTCTCCATGCACCTTTTTCCCTTTTCTCTCTAAGCCTTTAATCATTTCTAGGTGGCAACAGCTTTTCACACTGCAGTGTGTGTAATTGGCATTCTGGTTGCATTGGTGTCCAGGTGTTAATTGCAGCATTTGCATTGTCGTAACAGCACTTGGGGGTTCCTTTTCGTGATGGCAGTGCTGCTGGTATTGCACCCGTGTCGGAGTGAAAATGAGACTGTCTGGAGCTGATTGTGATTGGGGTGATTGGAGAGCAACCCTAAGGACAAGATCTCATGGAACGAGCCTGTGCATTGGGCCTCGGGCTGCCTCTGTGCCCTGCCTGGCTGTGTCCTTGCTGCTGTGAAATGCACAGACAGGTTAATGTAGATGGGAGAGCTGGGAGGGAGCAGCCGTGCTCCTCTGTCCCCTCGGACCTCATGGCGCTGAGTTAGTGTCAAGGTGCATGGTTGGGGTAGGGGGTGGCAGTGCTGTCCCCTCTGCTTGCCTCTGTCAGGCCTTGCTGGGAGGACGTTTGAGCTGCCCTGCTGCGGTGCAGTACGAGGAGGAGTCTGAGGCTCTGGGTGGCCTCTGCACAGGGGAGGCAGATCCATGGAGGATGCAGTGCTTGTTTTACCCATCGATCCATTTTCACATACCAACTTCTATCCTGTCTGCTGTAGCAACCACCCAGGCTTTGGGCAGTCTTGTCACGGAGTGGCTGTGCTCCTCTTGGAATTGAGGGGGGAAGTTTCCCTTTAGATGCGCCTGCTCCTAAATCATTGATGATCTGTTGATCTTTAAAGCTCAAAGCGTGACTGGTCTGGGAAAAGCTCTTCCTGTGCAATATGTTATATTTACTGTAATGCAATCTACTCCGAGGTTTACCCTTGGTGCTACTCCGAGGTTTACCGATCAGTGTGTATAAATACCTCAAGGGAGGCAGTGAGGAGGAGGGGCCGGCCTGTTTTCAGTGCTGGTCAGCGATAGGACTAGAGGAAACAGCCACAAACTGAAGCATCAGAAGTTTTCCAGGAGCTTAAGAAAACATTTATTAACAGTGAGGGTTACAGAGTCCTAGAACAGGCTGCCCAGAGAGGTTGTGGAGTCTCCTTCTTCTGGAGATGTTTAAAACCCGCTTGGATGCAGCCCTGTGCCACGTGCTCTGGGTGACCCTGCGTGACCTGGGGGGTTGGACTAGATGACCTCTGAGGTCCCTTCCAACCTTAAGAGTTCTATGATTCTATGACCCTTTGCTGTTGGTGTCAGTCAGAGTGGGGGCTCTTTTTTACTGCTTTACTCTCTTTGCAAATAAGGTTATTTTAGTCTTTCTTCTGTAATCTGATTTTTCAGAATTGTCTTGCAGGCAGAGTGGCATGTTCTCCATGCCCCAACCCACCCAACCCTAGCTGATTATTTTTTCAACATATGCAGACAACTAAAACAGCCATTTAAAGTTGCTGCAATGGAATGCTCCATGCATTGATTAGTATGTCAAAAAGTAATTGCTGGAACGTGTTCCTGCTGTATCGGGTAACATGAGACTAATTTGATTTAACCGCCCAGCCTCCCTTTTCCTCAAATTCTGCATTTTGAATCTTTGACTTTTCACACTTGGAAAATGCTAATAGACCAAAGCTTGCACTTTAGCGTAGGGCATGTGGAAATATCAGGCATAATATGCAGGTGATAAATCTGTTGGCTCTTTAACGGCTTTATTGATTTTTGTCTGGTGATATTTCTGTCAAGAAGAGGCATCTGATGCAGCAGCAAGTGGTGCTACATAGAGCCCTAGCAGAAATAATCAGAAGCTCCTTATTGCACTAAGTGTGTTTATGTATTAGGTTACATAGCTTGGTGCTGTCGTCTTCATTAGGTCCGTGTGCTGAAATACCCCCTGGCTTGTGGGGAGGAGGCCACATTGCCAGGCTGTTCACCCACTCCTGCCCTGTGTGCAGCGCCCGCTGTCCTCAGCAGGAGCTCTGTACGTTAACCCTCACGGAACACCAGCCCCCAGGCGAATGGAGCACTCCAGAACTGATACCTCAGGGCCAAATGCTGCTGCATTTACTGTCGTTGAGCTTGTTTTCCTGTTCATTTCCTCCCAGTGGGATTGATGAAGACAGCTGAGAACCACCCTTGAGCAGAGTAGCCAGAAGCAACCACAGGAAAATACATGCAAGGTATGAGCTTTCCAGAGCCCTCTTGGGGCTTTATCTGCTTGCTGTTGGCTCCAACCTGTCAGGACAGGCATTTAACAGCAGCCTTTTAATGTACATTTGATTCCTGTATAACCTTGTCCATGTTCCTGGTGTCACCACGTGTGTGGTGGCTGCAGCCCCAAGGCCACCAGTAGATGGGTGCACGTTGCAGTCCCCATCCTGCAGCCTGGTGGTTCCCACACGCCCATCGTGCTTGACATGGGTCCTGGCTGCAGTTTCTTTCATCCTCCAATGCCCTGCGGACAACATTGTGTTTGTGGGTTACAGTCTATTTGCAGCACTCGCTTTTTCACCTGTTATTAATGGGAATTAACAGATTGGCTCTAATTAGAAAAGTTCTAATTTGGTCTGGATTGTATCTGACAGTGCTTTCTTCAGTGCTTCCTGGGGATTGTTTAACAGGCAATATAAGCTTATCTATTCCTGGCAAATCCATTGATATTATTTACTTCCTGATAGCATTAGTCTCCTGGGCCTCCTTATTTTCATGCTGGAGCTGGCAAGGATGGATACCTGTCATAGCTAACGCACGCAGTAAGGAAAGTGGGAACTTTGCCATTTATCACTAACAGAAACTGTTGAACACAAGACATTTTAATATACATTTTTTTAAAACAAAGCTCTCTTCTGCTACAGTTCATAAAACATTATTAAATAATTTTGAAACTTCATTCTTCACCTGCAAAAAGAAGTCTGAGGCTTGTGGAGGGTGCCTGTAGGCTGTGTTTTCCCCCCAGTCTGAGCCAATGCTTTTCCCTTTCCCTTCCCTCAAACTAAATGTTTCCCTTGCTGGATGATTTGTTTAAATTTTCCTGCTTTGCTTTTGTTTTACTGTGGATCCTCTCCAGTATTCAGCTTGCTAAAGGCATGACAACTGCTCAGTGCTATATAGTTATAGTCAGTGTAATTGCTGTAAATTGGGTGAGAATGGGAATTGCTATGAATAATATGTATTTCTAAAACACAGAAATGCACTAAGAACTAAACAGGAAGGAAAATGGCCTTTGTGGCAATAAAATAAAAAGGTGGCGAGGGGGTAGGGAGGAGAAAACTAACACTGTGAATGTCAAACTGTTCTCAAGCCCTGTTGGTGCCAAAAGGACTTTAGGCCCTGCAAAAGCTCTGCTGTCCCACCTCACGTGCCTGGAATTTCCCCTTGACAGAGTGAGATCCATGGAGCAACAACAGCTTTTGGTAAATACAATAAATGCCTTGTTTTCTTTCTGTAAATAAGCAGATTTTTTTTTTTAGATTAGGAAATAATAGAGAAGTCTAAGTGAACAAAAGCAAATAAGCTAAAGACACAAAATAGGGAGGATGCTTCTGTGGTTCCTGCAGGGACAGGGCGGGAGGTGAGCGCTGCCTGTCGGGTAAGGGGTGCAAGGGTGGCTCTAACATGGCCAGGATGCTCAAAAACCTTCTCGGAAAGAGGCTCCAGAAGTTTCTCAGAAGTGTCTTGGTGTCATTAAGCCCATGACTGAAATAAGAGCGGGTGCTTGGGCCCAGGGGAGCAAGATGCAGGTGCTGTCAGGCCCTGCTGGATGAACCACCGTTTTGCAGCCCCTGAGGGCACTCAGTTAGTGTTGGATGTGTTTATGCCTGTAATGTAGGTGTCAAAGGAGGCAACTGGTGTGAGCCTGGCTGAATACAGAGTAGAGTGGATGTAGAAGGACAGGACATGAGGTTTTGATTTACGTGCTGCTGCTGTCTACCAGAGCCCCTTGTCCTCGCAAAGCTCCCTGGCTGGCCCAAGTGTAACATGGGCTGGGCCTGTCCCAGGAGCAGGACCTTACATGTGGAATCATCGAGCTCTTGCAATGCAGTCCAGCCAGTTTTCCACCCATCTCTAGTCCCCTTTGTCCTTATCTTTTCCAAGACTAAACTACTGTGTAAACTGCACCTGCAAAAGCTTGTACTTGTACTGTCCCTATAACTCTGCAAGTCAAGTGGCTGCTGATTCTTTTGAGCCTCACAAGCCCATGAAGAAGGGAGGTATCATCAACTTTTCCTCACTGATGGAGCAGCTGCATCCTCCTTTGGCATCTCTGAAATGCTCAGCCTTCCTCCCAGCCAGGGTTTGCTTGGAAACCTGCAGCATGGAGGTGGGCATGTTGCAGAGGTCTGGACTGTGGAGTTGGGACATGATGCCAGTGACAGAGGAAAGCAGAACACCTCGGAGGGCCGATGGGAGCCTAGTTCCCCTTTGCTCCCAGCATCTGGGTAAATACCCCATGTCAAGACTACTAAAATTTGAAGTAAGATGGTAGCTGTTTGCATGGTTGGAGATGCTCTTTGCTTAATAAAATAAAAGGAGCCCATGTCTGTTAGCTGGCACTTAGGCAAGAAATGATGCTTCATTGCGCATGAACAATTAAATGGGAATATTTCTGAGGGCTAAGTCACCCGTCCCATCTACCCTAATGTATTGCACTAGTTCTGTTATCCACTGACTCCTCCAGGAATCGGCCCTTTTCCTTGGTGCTCCATGGCAGGGTTTCTGGTGTGACTTTTTGTTTTGCAATCTTGCGTTGTGCCTGTCCCTTTTATGAATTTGAATTGTTAATGTGAACATTTGAGTTCATTATAACTCTGAAATGTTTGCTTTGTTACCAGTAACTGACAAACCTGCATCCACTGCTCAGAAAACACGAGAGCTATTTCTAGGATTGTATTTTGTTCACTGCTGTGCACAACAATATGTTCTTGCCTTCACTAATGAAGTTTTTCTTTAATGAACACAATTAGAGCTAGGCAAACAATGCAAAAATATTTGCCATGAATATTCATGTAGAGCCCTAAATGTGTTCCCTTCAGTTGTTTACATCCCTTTGCTCTCTTTTCTAACTGAAATTTTTCCCTAATTTCAAGTGTCTTTGATGCTTGAGCAGTGAGGAGGGAAATGAAGTTTCAGCCCTGGGGTTACCTTTCCCTGCCCTGTCCCAATCCTTATTTCTTGTGGGCGCTTGTATTTCTGCAAGGCCATCCATGTGGGGCGGTCACGTTGGGCTGGGACCTGATACCTGGACACAGGAAGGATGAGGTTTTTGGAGGCAGCAGCCTGGAGAGAGCCAATAGTGGGAATTCCTAGGGTGGAAAAGAGTGAAGGCAGCTGCTGAGGATGGACTGTGGGGAGGAGGTCGTGCTCTTCTTGGGAGGGTTTTTCTTCCTTGAACAGGCAGTTTAAGGAGTTCTCACAACTGCTCTTGAGCTGTGAAGGCAGCAGCCTTGGCTGAGAGCAGTGCTGGGGTCGCAGAGGGACAGTTCCGAATGAGGCAAATGATACCTAGAAGTTGAGTCTTCTTTTTCCACCTCCTCAAAGCACAAATTACAGCTCGAATGTTCAATATCTGTGAAGGCTTGGGCAAAGAAAAAACAATTATTGTAAATTTTCTCCTAAAACTCCTTTTAATTTTCTTCAAGAAGGTTCTCCTGCTCAAAGGTTTCCTGCTCAGGAAGGGTCTTGAGCTGCTTCATGACGGTGCTGTCCAAGTTCAATGGTTAAATTGGAAAATATGTCAAAACAGTAATGAAGAATAGGAAAAGAGGTTTCCTGGCTGGTTATTCCACCAGGTTTTGTGAGGACACACTTAAAAAACCCCAAACTGTCATTGCCTGGTGGGTGCCTCTGTGCTGTTCCTGAAGTCAGAGGGCTTGGGAGGAATAGTGAAAGATGAATGTGGAGACCACCCCATAATGCAGAGCGCTGTTATCTCGAGAGCTTTGGGAATTAAAGCTTAAATCCAGCCAGCTGATGTCTGAGCCAGGTGTGTAAAAGCAGATTATTATGCATTTCATATAGAAATCTCCCTCAAGGTCACTTTGAGATATAAATCATTTGAGTTTGGTTTTTTTATTATTTAACAGAAGTGACGTCAGAAAAAGATGTTTTATTTTGTGGTGTGCTGTGACTGCTGAGAAATAAGGGTCTGCCCAGTGCAAAGCACAAAATAGTTTCAGGTTTCGAGGGGACTAGCTGCCAAAGTCCTCCACCTGTGGGGAAATTATCAAAATGCAAAAGCTGTAATGCAGTGAGAGGACTCCCTGGTGTCCTGGCACTTGGTGGTGGTCAAGCCAGCCTCTTGCCCCCCTCTATTTAATTACCTGACACCCATATCCAAACTGGGGAGGCTGTTGCAGTCCCTTTTCAACGTTACTACATGGCAGCCCTGGCTCACAAGCACCAAGGGCTCCGTGTGTGTCTGGATATAATCCTTGTCCAGCTGCTGTTGCTTGTGCTGTGCAGCTGCCTCTGGGCCTTTTACTGCCCCGAGTTCATTTCTGACTGAATTTCAGGACTTTTTCACTATGTGTCTGCCCTGCCTCTCAGTGATGGCCAAACAACTGCATGGGCTGAGCTGGGAAACCGAGGCCGCTGTGTAGCCATAGGGAGGTTGCTCCCTTAATGCAGCAAGTAAACGGTTTCCATGGGAGTCCTTTTCAGAGATAGTTGAATACTGTTTTTTTCATTTTTAATTGCTTTTTAATTGTATTTAAATTGTATTTTTAAACCAATTATCCTTCTTTATTTCTCCTCACTCTGTTTCTCTTTCCTATGTGTAATATTTTAGCGAATTAGTTAATTGGTCAAACACCACAGTGTTTGCTACTTGTCATGTATCCCACCCCACAATCTCCTCTCCCAGGAGCTCAGGATTTGTTCTAAGTGACACCCTGTAAATAAGCAGTAAGTAGTTCCTTATTCCTGCTTTACCCCCTGCCAGTTGGGCAGCCAGTTCTGCTGCTCGTGTCCGATAGCAAGGAAGCCCCAGCGCATGGTTTGTATCCCACAAGCGCTGCCTTCGTCCTTTTCTCTTGCCCTCTCTTGCCAAGCCCTTCCTCTCTGTTGTGCATAGTTTGTATATTATGGGGCCAAGGGTCCAGCCATAATTAAAAAATCAAGGATTGGCTGAAATAGCATATTTTGGGCATTTAAAATAATAGGAAAGTAGTTTCTTCTGGTTTTCATCTTGAAAAGCACCTGGCACTGGATGCTGCTGCAGAACTGGGTTTAGTGGTACATCCTCATATGCATAAGTGTTTAAGCGTGTATTTATATAGTTTATATATATAGGTTTTTTTATTATTATTTTTTATTGCAGCTGCAGACAGTTCTTCTCCTTTCCCTTGTGCCGGCTGGCTGGTGCAGTCATTAGCAAGCATTTCTCCTAAATTAGCCCACTTTTTTTCATCCTATTATGTACTGTTCTTTATTCACCTTAAATAGGTCTGCAAATACGTATCGGGGTTGGCAGAGATGCAGTGAAGGCCCCTTAATTAGCCATTAGTGTTCGCACGTCTTAGTTGTGATGTTTTCCCTCAGGTGTCAGAAATGCCGGGCAGAGTCTCTCCGGATGAAGAAGTTCAGGGTCTTCACTCAGGGCTGGACGTGGCTGTTCTGCCCCCAGAATGAAACTTCTTTCGCTCTCCCTAATTAATGTGCCCAGACTTCCTGGAAGGGCAGCGGTGTAAAACGCAGATTAAGTTGTCGGAAGAGGCCGCAGACGACTCGGAGGCTGCCAACAAAAGGTGTTTTTCTTCCAGCTGATTATTTTTTAATGATACTATTAGTAATTGGAGCTCGCTGTGCATGGCATCCTTCGGATAAAGATTGTAGCGTGCTTCACATGCACTAATGAAGCCTCAGAGCAGTTGAGATGGGAAGAAGAGGCTTTCTTAACCCTTTCACATGCATCTTGTCCAAGTGCCATGTGGCCGGTAGCTCCTGCCCCAGCAGTAAATCAGAACTATAAAAAATCTCAGTGAAAGTTCCTTCCCAAAGCACCAAGAAAGTCTGTAGGGATAAAAAGTTGGCCTGAATACCTAGGAAAAGACTCGTGCAAAGACTTATGTCATTAGTCAAAGGGTACGGATGAGAAGATTCTCTATTTACTATGACAGGGCTAATGTGGAAGTTAGGGACCTGCAATCTGCTTGTTTCCCTTCTTCCCGGAGGAAGAAACAGCCCAAAGCTCTGACTTCCTGTTCCAAATACTTTGTTGCAGAATAGATCAGTGCAGATGCCCAGAGTTGCTGAACTGTTGTGCGTTCCACATTAAAATAAGCTTTCCCTGTCTGTAGATGTGCTCCATCATCGTATCTCTTATTGCTTGTGACGTAGTGAACACA